TCCTTCCATTTTGTGTGTGTTTAAGGTGTTTTTGTTCATAGTTTTGTATACAAACACCTAGTGCTACACTTTTCTTTAGCTACTGAGGTACTAAGGAGTTATTTTTAGAGTTCTTGAGTTGATCTAAGCTTGGAGAGGCTGCTGGAGCATTGTTCTTGAAAGAGGTCTTCAAGGGTAAGAACTTTACCCCTTTATTCCCCATTTTTGCATAGGCTTTTAACTATCCTTGCATCTGTTTTTAAGCTTAGTGTATAACTAGTAAAAGTTCTGTTTTTACTTGCTTTTGATAGTTGTTTAAGGTCTCTTTGAGGTTTGGGGTTGTTTGACCCCTCTTAGGTCTTGTTTGGCCTCTTTTTTGTGCACTTTTGGTGAGCTCCGGGACCACCTTGTGTTGGCCTCCTCACCACTGAAATCCAGAGGGATTTCAGTGGTGGGGATGGTGTTTTGAGGTCCTAAGAAGGAAAGGGCCATCCCCTCTCCTTGTTCTCTTCAATACTTGCCATTTTAGCCTCATGTGTGAGCACCTTTCTTAAGTTCATGTTGGCCATGTCTTAGGTAGTATTTGCGCTTATTTTGCCATGATATAACACTTTTTTTAGTTGGTTTAGACACACCATGCATGCTTTGCATACTTATTTTGTAATGTCATGAAATTGCCTTAACATGCTTTGTGCTTTGAGCCTTGTTTTTAGCATGATTTTGGCTTAGCTTTGTGAAGCTTGTATACATGTTTTGATGTGCTTGAGGTCTGATTTTGGTCATTAGGGTCATCCATTACTTGCTTTGTATAGCTACCATGCAATCCCCCTTTGTAGGCCTTGGGTGTTGGATCCTCTAGCATGCTCTACTTGCATCATTTCAGTGGTTTGTTCAGTCCATATAGTATGGCTTTGTAATTACTTGCATTTTAATGGGTCCTTTGAATATTTCCAAAGAAGTTTTTGCTTTTCATGCTCTATGTTTGGGTCATCAATGCATGCCTTTAGACTTTAAGCCATATTAGATGGCCAGTCAGTAGGTATGTCTTCTGACTCTTGTTTGGTCTGGGCTTTAGAATTTTGAGTCCTTTTGTCCCTTTGAGGCTGGCCTTGTTGTTGCATGTTGGTAGCCCCTTTGATGGCTTTGAGCCTTGAACCTTGCTTGCATGCTTTGATTGTTTTGTTTAGTTGGTTTGGCACCATCCTCAACATGATTTTCAAAGTTTATCATGCTTGCCATTTGTCCATGATCATCTCCTTTTAAGTGTGCTTAAAAGTCCCCTCTTTGTGCTTAAGTATTGGACCATGTTTGCATACATGTTTGTATGTACATTTGCTTTCATGTGCTTAGCATATTAGCCACTGTTTTGGGCTTAAAAGTTACTCCTTCATGCTCAAGTTTTGGACCATGTGTGCATGAATGCTTGTGTGTACATTTGCTTTGCATGTTGTCACATACTTGGCCCATAGGCATGTTGTCACATACTTGGTCTATTGGCACGTTGTTACATGTTCAAGTGGTGTTGCATTTGGCACGCATCTTGTGTTAAGTTGCTTTACATGTTCCTATGCTAAGTCCCCTTCACATGTTGTTGCATGTTGGTCATTAGCATTATTGTTACATGTCTAGCATGCTTGTTTGCTTAGGTTGTGTGACTAGTGTTCATCACTTGCTTGCACGCTCATATTGCATACTTAGCTTGCATTTTAGGTTGCATTTTGCACGCATGCCTTGCCCCTTGAATTGATTGTGATAGAGGTTGGGCCTATTGTTTGTTTTGATTTGCATTTCATTTGACACCAAAATGCACAACTTGATTTCTTGGGCCATCATGCATCGAAATGTGTGATTGGTAGCCCGAGGGTCGAGGGCCATCCTCCTTTGAGTCATGAACATGATAAGGAGTGTGGTGGTGCAAACATTTGCTTTGAAATGCATTGCCATGCCTTGTTTGCCCTCTGCTGCTGTCAAAACATGATTCTGCAGGAAGAAATGGTCGACCGACCATTCTCAGTGCCGGCCGACTAAATATCTTTGGCTGAGAGCCATACCAATGGTCGATGACCACTTTCCCATGGCCGGTGACCATCCCTCATGGCCGGTGGCATCCCACGGTGTTCATGGAGTGTTCCTTGGGATTTGTGCAATTTTCAGAGGCATAAAATAGTGAAAACAGAGGTGGCTTATGCATGGTGGTGGATTTTCGAGCGGAGCCGAACACGCATGCATTGGACCCTCTCCCCAAGGCTGTTTTACCCTTTTTTTAGCTTAGTTAATTGGCTTAACTAGTTAAGTGGTCTGTAATTAACTAATTAGCTTGTTAGTTGATTAATTTGTATTATTTATTCGGTCTCTCCGAGAGAGAGCATAACTGTGTAATACGTGTGGGTGCGTGTGTGCATGTCTTCCAACCCCCACTTCTTTCTCCCTTTTACTTACCTGCTTTTGATGGTTAGTATTAGGGCATATTTCAATTAGCATCCTTATGCTATGCATGTGTGCATTCATTCATTTGTATTGCATACACCCGGCTCGGCACATCATACTAATCGCATAGTATTTCAAATCTAACTTGAATACATGTTATCTGTTGCATTTCACATGCCATCGATAAATTAGCCGAGCCTATTCTAGCTGCATTTTGCCTGCGATGCATTAGCTATCTTAAACATGGACTTGGATCATACATTTGATTACTAACATGTTCTTTGTTTTGGCTTGGAGTACACTGTGAGTGTTTTATGCTTTAGCATCTCGCATGTTTGTGAACGTTAACATGAAAGCATGTTTGCCATGAGGCTAATTGCTTAGTTGATTTACTGCCTGAATGCCTGTGGGTGAAGGTTGGATTGTTTGAATTGGAATAATTCATTGAAATCCGTATTTTAGCCTACTTGCAAGTAGCAAACCTCAAATCATTTCCAAACAACGGATATGCGATGCTTTGTTCCAAATTAGGCGATCTAGTCTATACTTTTGTGTTGTGCGCATCACATAGTAAGATTAGCTAATTAACCGGATTAAGAACACGTGACGTTTTCAAAACTAGATAACATGGTTAGCAGAAGCCGATCTTTGATCGGGCGAACGGGGGTGCTCATAGTTGACCTTTCCCAATCGTACCCAAGTTCCCGAGCCGAGGCAACTTTGGTGATGACGGACACGTGTCCTTAGGCAAACGAGTCAGGGTTTCCTAAATCCCTCCAAAATAAAATATTTAGGTGGCGACTCTATATCTGGCAAAACAGTCCATGTTTGGCACTTCTTTCTAAAAAACCTGTTTTTCAAAAACGATTTGCCAGATTTGGACTCGTTGGTGATTTATAAGTCTTGCATTGCATTTGCAAAATCAGATTAAGAACCGTGGCAATTTGAGTCCTGAACTGTAGTGAGCCCAAATGAACAAAACAGGTTCCCCCCCGGGACGTTCGGGCGCGTCTACAGCTACAAGAAATGTTTTTGGATGCAAAAAGTTTAGATTTCAGGTAGTTGATCTTCTGTCCAGATATCTCACAAAACTCGTAAAGTACCTCTATGATGGTTTCACAGTTGGATTGATCAGCTTTGGCAAAAAGGATAAGATCATTAATAAAAAACAAGTGGGATAACTCTGGGCTATTGCCAGAAGCTTTTATTCCTTTCCAAGTTTGCTATTTCACTTTAGATATGATCATATTAGATAATCTCTCCATACACAAAACAAAAAGATAGAGGGGAAGGGGGTCTCCTTGTCTAAGGCCTCTCTTATTGTGGATTCCTTCAATAATTTCCCCATGCCAAAGTATAGAGGACTAGTTGTTTGTAACACAATTCATGATTAGTTTAACCCAACTATCATTAAGCTTAAATTCATGCAATGTATCTTTGATAAAATCCCAGGATATCCTATCATACGCTTTGTAAAGATTAATTTTGAAAATCATACAACCCCTTTTTTTGTATCTCAAAGAATGAAGGATTTCTTAGGTGATTATGTTATTATTAGTGGTATTTCTTCCAGCACTACAAGAAATTAGTCTTTTAGAGACTAATATTTAGGGATTAGTTGAATTTGGTCGCTAAAAATAATCTTTTAGGAACAAATTTAAACATATGATAATTTACTTATAAGATTGTAAAAATGATTGTTAATATTCTCACTTAATATTTACATAACTTTTTCAGATCAATAAATTTGGTTGCTAATACATTATTAACATCTTTAGGGACCAAAAATAATGAAAAATTTGCAAAACTCCACTAGATCAAATAAACACGTTGTTCACGCTCCATTCACTTTTACAAATCCACGATGTGAAACAGCTTCTCTCTCTTTCTCGAGCTCGATTGTAGATTTTCACTCTATCCATCACAGATCTTCTCTCTCTTCGCTCTCTCTATCACAGACCTTCACTCCAAGTCAAATTTGAGATCTACAAGCTTTAATCCATAGTAAATCTCTTTTCTTCAAATTTGTTGCAAATTTGGTGAGTTTCTCTCAACCTCTCGCTACTTATACAAACATACATACATATATATATATATGTATATATATTTGTAGATCTACGAGGAACACAATAAGTAGTTCACGTATTATTTGATTGGATAGATTAAAATTGCTATATACTACATATTATTATCGATGGAGCTCTCATTATCATCTTGTATAAAATCTAGGGTTTCTTTCACTTTCTACATCTCAATCTCTTGTTCTTCTTCTTTGTCTATTCGATCTGATCATCTCTTTTCATTTGAGTGATTTGAGAATCTGAAGAGCACAAAATACCTATTCAACTAATCGAATGCCAAATTCAAGGCACTTGTTCTATATTTTTTTTATGCTTTGGGACTGGAAATTTATGTGTCAGATTTTAAAAAAAAAAAAGTTTTTCAAATAATCTAGGTAAGGTGTTTTTTTTTTCCCTCGCTAAATTGTAGCAATTTGGATTTGTATTTGTTTTCAATAGTTTGTGTTTTAATTCAACTTCAGAATTGATTTGATTTGTGTTTGATTGTTTTGTATTCAAGTCCATTCCAGAAATGATTGGATTTTGATGTTTATCAATGTATAGGCTTTTGGATTTCTTTTAGTTCAATTTGGATTTGACTTATTTGGATCTAGAGGTAAAGTTTTATTTCACTCCTTGATGGTTTCTATCAATCTATACTTTGCTATTGCTTGCTACTTCATATCACGTAATTAAGAGTGATTGCGTAATTAGGTACAAACTGTATAAGTGAGAGCCATATTACATTAGGCAAAATAACGTTGTCATGAAATTAATTTTGTAGTGTTTAAGCTTTTGGATCTATGGTTTTATTTTTATGAATGGAAGACACAAGTTTAAGCTCATATACACCCACATCATCATTCCCCCTTGCTCCCTTGTTGATTGTTTGATGTTGAGGATCAAAACAAAGGTTAAAAACCCTCCTAAAACAGCCTCTGCTACTGCAAAATTCCGTCTTTCCCTCCCATCTCTTGGTTTGCTTCATTACTAGAAATAGTTAATGATGTTGTAGGTTGTGGCTAGAAAACAATGATTTGAAGAGGTAATATATCTCCACTGTGTTCTTGTTGTCATGATCTTTTTTTTTCCCCCCAATTGTTGTAGTTGGCTAATGTCTAAATTTAATGTTTTAGAGTGATTTGGAGTATCAATTTTAGTTTGTGATTACGAAGTCGATATGAAATAGGTAGGCAATAGACGACAAGATATTGTTCACTTTTTTATTTTTTGCCTTTTGTCTTTATATTAAGTATAATTAATTTGTTGCAAGCTAAATGTCTTTAAATTAATGAGCAGATGACAAATCTGACTAAAGAGGAATTTGTGCACATTTTTCATTGCCAAAACACTAGATTCTCTCGGGGGAGCTCAAAATATAGAGGAGTGACCTTGCACAAATGTGGTTTATGGGAGGCTCAAATGGGACAGTTCCTTGGGAAGAAGTGAGTAGCCCTTAAACTGAAAACTGTTACTAATTAATTAGATGATCCTATTGTTAGATGTAAATACTAGAAGTTATAAACCTAGTAGATGGTGTTAGGAACTCTAATTTGGCTTTTGAGAACTTGCCATTGTGCTTTTACTTATGCTGGATAAAAATCTAGGATGGTAATTTCAAAGTAGAAATGCTTAGGGCCCCTTTTATCTAATGAGGTTATGATGTTTGCTTGCAGGTATATGTATCTTGGGTTATTCAACAATGAAGTAGAAGCTGCAAGGTCCTTGTGTTCTCTACTCCAGCATCATCAAGATTTGTTATTTTGAATTTGGTTAGCTCAGTGATAGCTTATTAGATTTTGTATTCTCTGGACTGATAATCAGATCATATAAGTGAACCAAACAACTCCTAAAACAATTGTTCTTTCTCTTTCTGTTTTCTGCTTTTGGAAACACACTGTTTTGCAAAAGGAAAAACAACCCTCTGATACTGTGGTTCAGTTTTTCATATTTAGCATAGTCTGAATCTGATAATATGTCATACACCCTCTGACACTTTGTGAGATTTTACTATATTTTTTTATGTTTTTGATTTGATGTTTCTTGTTTTAGGATAGGGATTGTTTGCTTGAAATTTATTCTATAATTGCTCTGTTTTGTTTTATTAAGATATTCCCTGTTTTGCTAAATTGTTCTATTTATAATTATGTATAATTAATAACCTAACTTGGGCTCTGTTTGTTTTGGAAAAAAATGTTTTCCGTATTTTCATAATTACTTTACTTGCACATATATAGAACTGTGATAATACGAGGATGATAATAATAGAAAGTATTTTTTTTTTCTTTTCTAAATTCCATTGTGAGGCTTAAAAAATAAAATCACTAGAACGAGGCTCGTCTTTTTCAAAATAAAATGTACACTCTGCGAATTTAAATTCCTTTTGTATCCTAATAGAAAATAACAACTTCTTCAGAAGTTGATTGCCTCAGTTCGGATTGTTCTCTGCTACTTGGGAACAGGAAGTTGATATAGTCTTGATATTAATCCTGTTTTTGTTTTTGTTATTTTGATATTTGGCCACTATTCACTCTCTATCAAGGTATTTCTCGACCCTTCAAGTTTTATTGAGTTTTTCTGTAGTTTGATTCTTCATCATCATCTTCTTCATTTTTTTTTTTTTGCAGATTTCTGTTACTTTGTTTATCAACTTGAAGTTTGAATATGGGTTCTTCTCATTTCATTGCCATAAAGGTCTTCAAAGATTTTTGTTACATTGTGGTATCCTTTCATTCTTTCATATTTTTTACATTCAATTAGGATTTTTTTTTTATTTTTTTTATTTTTTTTTATGGCAGTTGGCTGGTAAGATCCAATGAAGGATGAGTGCAATCAGGTAGAAAATGAAGTTAATGCCCCATTTTCTTAACATGTTTTTTGTTTTTGTTTTTGTTTTTGTTTTTAATCCCATGCATTTCTCTGTTATCTTGGTACTTTGATTTAGAAACACAATTTTTATTAATTGTACTTGTTTCATAAATAGGAGTTGCGTGAATAAAAAGCAGGAACAGACTCCTCGATGTCATCCTCACAAAGGTATTATTTAATTATAGTTATTTATAATATTTTTAGCTTTACATATTCTTTGGAGGTAATTTTTGGTAATAGATTAAATTATGTTTATGTGGCTATTATTTTTGAAAAGAGGTAATTAAAAACATAATATATATATATATATATATATATATCATTTTTAAGTTAATTTTAATTGTATGAACATCAAATACTCACTGCAATATGTGGATTAAGTTTTTATTGTAATTGAAGGGTTTATATATATCTTTTTTGATTGATGGATACTTGTACTAAAATATGTTTTTTATGGTTTTACGGGGTAGCTATGGTGCTGATCAATCTCCTGAACAATTCTTTTTAGCACCATCTTTGGTTTTTTGCTTTTTTCTAATTGTTACTTTGATCACATTAGAGGTTGTTTATCTTATTTATCATCTGTGAGTTTTATTTTATTTTTTTTTGTAAAATTTTGCTTTCTATAATCATTGTGGTTTTTGGGAATTGAGAGCTTTGATGAGTGGATGCCAAATTTTTTTTTTTTTTTTCAAACTGACTTTTAGCGACGAAAATATGTAGTAGAGAAAGTAATTTGATTTTTAGTGACCAAATATAATTGTTGTTGAAAATGTCATTATTTTGTTTTTTGTGACCAAATTGGGACATTTTGTGACGAAGTATTAGTGACCAAATGTTTAGTTCTGCAAAATCAAATATTTCGCGACCATATAAATTTTGTTGCTAATTGTTATTTTTAGCAACACTTTTGAAAATTCATCGCTAAAAGTAAATTTTGACTTTTCTGGATGCACTTTTAGCGACATTTTTGGTGACAAACTTATTTTTGTCACAAAAAGTCTTATACGTTGTAGTGCAGGAATGATGCTGCTCTGATTTGGGCTAATAAGGGTGTCCAGAAGAGGTCTAAATCTTCCCATAATAAGCTTAGTGATGATCTTGTAAGTTATATTACAAAGGCTTATGGGTTTGAACTGTTTGATATTATCAAGATTTTCAATATTTGGAATCAAGACAATAAGGGTTTCATTGACATCATTAGGAACTCTACTGGCTTGGAAACAACTTTTAGCAAACTCACACATAGATTGGCCCACATTATTCTAGTACTTCTGATAGAATAAGGCTTGAATCCCATATTTGCCTGGAGCTTTGAAGGCACCAATACTTTTTGACAACTCTCAGAATTTCAGAGTTAGTTAAGGCCCTTAACATAGCATCATTATCCTCTAGAGTAAAGTAAGTTGAAGTTATATTATTCCAATGATCCAAATGTTGAGTATTATCTTTTTTGAAAAGGTTATTAAAATAATTAAGGATGTTCTTCTTAATCCCATCCTTGTCAGTAACCCGGTTTCCATCTTCATCTTTAATAGCATTTATCTTGAGTTTTCTCGTCTTAGTGATAATAGAATTGTGGAAGTATCTGGTATTTCTATCACCAAGGGTAATGTTTCTAGATCTGGATTTTTGAAACCATAATGTTTCTTCTTGGAAAAGAACATCATTATATTGTTTAATGAGCTCTTTTTCTAAGGTGAGCAAACTATGAGTAAAATTATCTGCCAAAGCTCTTTGGATGCCCTCAATTCTGGCTAGTAAATGCCTTTTTTCTTTTAAAAATGTTTTCAAAAACTTCTCTATTCCACTTCCTGACTCTATTAGTGAATTCAACAGTGAAATCTTGAAGGTTATTGTTTATATCAAACCAAGAAAAGGTAATAACATCAGCAAGGCCAGAGTGAGACATACAAGCAACCTCAAATCTAAATGGTCTATTTATAGGGTAGAGAGAGTGCATACCTTGGATATAAACAACAAGTGGTGAGTGGTCCGAGTAAGTTCTTAGGAGCACTCTCACAGTTTCTTCAGGGAACATAGTTCTCCAATCCTCATTGCATGTTGACCTGTCCAACCTATCCATAGTATTAGCTAGACCTTGTTTGTTGTTTGTCCAAGTCTGGGTCCTGAGCTTTTCAAGTTTATCAGATTGGAGTTATTAATTCTTTTAAGAAACTTTTGGGACCTAGTTGAACTCTTATTAGTTGAGAAGCTCCTTCTTTCACTTTGGTTGGCATAATCATTAAAGTCCTATGCCACTAGCCATGGTTTCTCCATGTTCTCTGCCACCTCTTCTAGTTCGTTTCGTAAGTCCTATCTTAAAATAGGATTTGGGCTAGCATATATCGTAGCTAGCACCCACTTTTCATAGTTTTCCTTGTGAATGGTAGCGTGAATAGCTTGAGGGCCAACAAATGAGTCTCTCACATTTACATGATTAGTGTCCTAGACTATCCAGATCCCACCAACTCTGCCAACTGGGTCAACAATAGTAGATGCTGTGAAACCCAAACGATTAAAGAAAATACCCATTTTGCTGAAATCCACTTTGGTCTCCATAAGGATCACTATTTCAGGTTTATGGATACGAATAATCTCTGCAAGAATCCGCTTGAATGTTTTATTGTTGGCTTCGCGAAAATTCCAAAACAACAAATTGAGCAAATCCATAGAAGGGAAGGTAGGTGGATCTGTCTTCAACTCTTTAATAATACTACGAATCCTCCGATGATTGTCCTTCACTAATCTCATGGAGGCTATTTGAATCGAATGTAGTGGACTTAGTGGATTGCTCTCCCAACTTGGCTTTATTATCAAGTGAATTTGCTCTATCAAGCGACGTCATGAAGTGTTTCATTTCCTGGTTCTAATAATAGAGTCATTGCACTGATCTGGCTCAAGTGTTTTTGCACTTCTAGGATTTGGATCTCTGGGTTCATGTGTTCTTGCCTCTCCATCTCTCAACTTACCAAGGTTTGGTAGTGTTGGGTTTGTTCTTCCGTGTTCTTTTGGGTTAGTAATTGTATGTGTAATGTTTGTTGGTATCGCTATTTGGGTTGGTATATGGGTGGTTCAACCATGGTAAGGTCAATTTGCCGTGGGGATATTACCAATGCACAATCTATGTCAGATGTTTGTAATTGTGGTTGGAGGCCATTGGTGCACCTGGGGATTCTTGCTTGTTCATAGACTGGTGAATCTAACATATTATCTCTATGCAGATATGTTGATCTTACTTCCATTAGATGTGAACTTGGTTGTACTTGTGGTTGGAGATCTAGTTGTGTTGATTTATTTTAGGCTTGGCCAACTTTGGATTTGCCTTTAGGATTTTTGGCTTGGTTTGGGCTAACTTGTATTTTGGATTCTCCTTAGGCCTTTTCATTTCCAACCCGTGTGGTTTTTTTTCCTTTAGAGCTTTTCCCTTGTCCATCTTGGTCCTCTTCTAAATATTTGAATTTGTTTTGCTTTTGGGTTGGGCCTGAGGCTTTTTGGGCCTTCTTACTTTGGATTGGTCTTCTTCCCTGCTTGGTCACTAACATCCACGGCCTATATATCTCTTTCTCCTCCTGCACATGTTACAGGTGACTGTTGTTCGTAGAGTTACTTGTGGTTGAACATTGTTTGTTGAAAACAGCTAGATTCTTTGCCGGCAGTCGGGTGTTTGACTCTTTAAATCTATATGCTTCGTTGCGATGATCTATTATTCCACACAGGAAACAAAATGAATGGAAGGATTCATATTCAATGTTATAGCACTTACCTTCCAAGATAAATTTGGGCTTCAATGGTTTTGTGAGATCAAGTTCAATGCATATCTAAGCAAACTTTCCTATAGTAGCCATTGCTGTTGTCCAATCAATCTTGAGAGGCTTACCAATGGATTTTGCAATTACAAATAGCATTTTATCCTGGTAGTACTTGATCGGAAGCTCTGGAAATCAAACCCAAGCGGTGGTTGTGGTTTCCAATGCTTCTGATGGTTTGAAATTTGGTTCCCAACACCTTACAATTAGGTAATGGTCCATGATGATCCATGGTCTTCCTGTGTAGACCTTAATATAGTCTTCATTGTCTGTGAATTTAAAGAGGAAGCAGCTACTTCCCAAATCGATTGCGTTGAACTCCCCTTAAAGTCACCAAATGTTTCTTATCTTCATGCATAACATTCGATAGCCTGTGCTTGCCCCCAATAATCTTATAATTAGAGTATTTTCCCATGGTTTCCTAATCTTTTCCAGGAGTTTATTTGGTAAAGAGATCTTGGAGAGGTCCATGTGATCAAAGTGGGCAATTGTAGTTGTGGATATGCACCTCTACTCGTCATCCTCCTCATCTGGTGATAGGTTTTCAGCTGCATCATCAAAAATATAGTCCTTGCTTCTTACCTTAGTTAAAGCTTCCTTGAAGGATTGAGGAATGAGAGGTTCCACAGAAAGGGTTTTCTGTGTATTGGTGTAACAACCTTGACCTGTGACTTACCTTAATCTTTGATTAAAAATGCCTAATAAGTAATTAAGAGGAAATTCTGAGTTAACTGCATGTGAATTGTGTTATTTGTGTTTGTATCTGTTTGCCGTATAAATATTTGTATATGCTTTTGTTCTGTTTTGCGAATTGAAGGCCTTATTGGCCACAAAATATGAAATTGACAGAGATTACGTGTTATTTGGAATTTTTAGAATTTTATGGTAGATTTAATTGAAATTCGATTCGGAGTCAAATAATTAGAATAAAATAATGCCCATTTGATTAGTGTTAAGCTTAGCATAATTAAGTTCACTAAGTAACCTATATGAGGCCAATACAACTCTAGAACTTTCTCATACACTACTTCACCTTCATCCCTTGAGCTAGGAAACATGAGAGAGGGAGAGAGACCAAGGAAAGAGATTAATTCAAGAAGATAAAGGGAGAATTGCTATAGATTGATCAAGAATTAGAAGGAATTAGTGATGGTGAGAGCTATTCAAGCCTAGCTAGAATTTAAGGGAATTGTGGACTTTAGGTAAGAAATTAACTCACACTTTATGAATTTAAGTTATTTTACACATGATTCGAAGAGAATTGAGTTTAGATGGTAGAATTGAACATGATTCATGCATGCATGCTCATTTCAACATGTTTTGATGTTATTGCCAAGGAATTCTTACATGCATGTGTTCATTCTAGCATGGTTTTGAAGATTGCTCTCATTTCACATCTTTTGAGTTTAATTGCTCATGTTTTCAAAGTGTAGAACATGAAGTAATACATACATGTTATTTAGACATACAATTCAAGTTTTTTTTTGGATAATTCACTTACCTTTGGGCTTTGATTTTGTGAAATGATCTTCAATTCTTAATGTTTTACAAGTTTAAACATGTTTCTCAAGTTTTTGGCCCAAAGGATGTGTTTTGAAGCTTTGAACTTGGGAAGCAAATCTGGAAATTCCCAAAATTGCACTCTACGCTCAAGCGGTGGAGTCTACGCTCGAGCGAAGAATTCGAGCTCTCAGTACTTTTGCAGAGTTTGGGGGTTAGCTTGAGCAGCAGAACTTGCGCTCGAGCGTCCACCTATATATTTGTACCTCCGCTCGAGCAAAGAAGTCTAAGCTCGAGTGTAAAATTCATGCTCTAAGAAGTTTTATAGAGTTTTACAGACCGTTTGAGCGACTGAAGTTGCGCTCGAGCAGAGACCCTATTTACTCAGTCTTTGGCTCAAGTGACTGTCGAGCATAAAAATAATGCAACTAATACTTTTGTAGACTTTGTAGATTGCTTGAGCGACAAAAGTTGCACTCTAACGGACTGCCTTGTTTTTGAAAATTTGACTAAGTGTTCTAAGGCATATTTTGGCATCCTTATTACATCTTAGGCATTCTTGAGCCCTAATTAAGACATAGTAGTGAGGATAAAGATTATAAACTCACCCAAACAAGAAAGAATTGAATTAAATGAATTCCGAGCGTGTGTTTCAATGTATCTGTGTTTGTGTAGGTAATGCGCCGTAGGCTACCCGGTTATATGCTCTATTTGTCTGCTTTATCTGCTCTGTCTGTCTGCTATTGGAGCCAACAGTGAGTAATAACTATGTAAAGTAAAGCTATGTTCAAGTATGAATATTTTTTGAATGATACAAGATGATCTGTTTTTCTGAAATATTATTTTTTGTATGAACGAATGGTTGTCCAATGTTTTTGAGATGTATTCGTGGCATCGTTAGCTAATGTCCCAATTTTGAGCCAACTATACGTCTCACGAACCAACTGTTATGGATCCTTCTGTATACATCCCACTTATGAGCTAACTGTACGTCTTATGAGCCAACTGTATCGTCTCCGTGCACGTGAGTCAACTGTATGCCTTCATGGTTGTCCTTTATGGGTCAACTGTTTCTGTTAGTGCTAACGGATGTACTACGTACGATGAACTGTAAATTTTGATTATGAATATGATTCTGATTCCATTTCTGATTATGAATAAGAATTCATTTCTAATGTAAACTGAATTCTATTTTTTGTACCTGTTATGGATAACATTCATTAAACCCTTTACTCTGTTATTATTCACTAGGCTTCAGCTCATTTTATTATTTATGTATGTAGGTGATCAGGTGCGTGACCAAACTCAGTGATGATCGCTTGGAATTCTGTTCTGTTGGCCAACCTTTGTGGCTCCTGAGGAGGTTCTGGAAAAGTCATGTGGTCGTGTTTTGTGAACTAAGTTTAAGACTTTGTTTTCATTTGTGAAATTTGAACGAGTTTCTGCTTATCTGTATATTGGGCTAAGTCCCATTTTGGTTTATTTGTATATGTGAGTGACGTAAGACTAATGTAAATATGACGTCACATGTGGGTATATAAAGTTTTAAATTTCTGTTCCATGTATGTCTGTACAGCTCTATGGACATTATATTTTGTATAATTGCTTTCACTAGCCCCTTAATCATATGTTATACAGTATAGAGGCCTTCGGTAATCTAAGGATTACTGGCCGGTTATGATGCTAAACCTATAGGGGCGGGTTTGAGTCGTGACAATTGGACTTGTCCTTCAAAACTTCAATTTCCATGATCATTGCTTGTTCATCTCTTGGTCGTTTGTTTCGTTTGTGCTCTTAATCTTCTTGGCACTTCTTATCAAGTGATCTTCCTCTTCTGTGGATTTCTCAAGGTTTGGTGAGTTTCGGTGATCGGAGTTGTTGTCGGATTGGTTTCTTGGTTTGGTGTTACATATAAGTTATATATCAAGAAATTTGATTAATGCACTCCATCTTGCTAAATATTTACTTTTTTGGGAGGTAAATTACACATTTAATTCTTATAATTTGATTCACATTTTGTTTTTGGTTCTTATGGTTTTAAGTACACAATTTAGCCTTATACTTTGGTTCTGTTTGTTTGTCAGATTAGATTTGATGAAGGGATTACTAGTATGGTGGTATTATGTTGAATGTATAAAATAAATTGAGTTCTAAAGCGATTGTATTAGTTAGTTAGGATTAAATATATATAAAAATTCTTATTACGTAAAATATAATTTTGTTATCTTTGTAAAATAAAGGGCATAATTATTTTTCCCCCTCCAATTCTTCAATTCTATGGGATTAGAATTACAGTCCCACCTTCCTCATGGGATTGTTTGTTAATCCCCTTCTTGAGGGGGGGCTATTAGTCCTAAGACTTTTGTTCCAATCAATCACAATTTTTGTGGGACTTGTGGGGTTACTAATCCAATCCCTGGATTAGTTCAATTTGTTATTTTAGTTTAAATTAAAGTTAAAATTATATTAATTTTGAGACACTTATCATTCTTATGTATACGTAAAAATAAATTAACAAAAATTTAGAGATAAAGAATCAATTTGAAACTAAACTTTGAGTGTAGGAGCTAAATTATTTAAATTTAAAAAATTGAGACTAAAATCTAAATTAAACTATAGAGGTAAAAGATATAATTTATTTATTTTTTTTCATATATTATTTTAGTGAAACTTCTTATTAAAATTGTGAAAAATTATTAGATATTCCTAAAATAACATATTGTATTATATACATAATATTCTCGATTGGTGAGAAATCTTAACATATGTGAACTGGATCATCCTTTATATTAAAATCAAATCATGTAACAAAAGTGAGTATGGATCTGGTATAAAATAAAGAGCAAGACATCCTTAATTTTAGACATAAATTTATCAATAATGATGTGGTAAGAAAATAAAATTTTATATCATTATGTACATAATAAATTAAAAATTGACATCTATTATATCACAGTTAATCGTACATATTTCTAAAGCAACCACCCAGATTGTCATATGTCAACAAACATGTAATTTTGACTATTAATGACACACTAGACACTACACCTCCCCACCCACTGCCACACAACAAAAACGAAAAAAAAAAAACAAAAACTATAAGCTTCACAAGAGACAATGGTTTCATCTTGTAATGACCGTCAGTTCACTCTCTCTCTCCTCTCCTCTCCCTATGTAGTTTTTGACATGGCCTCTTCCACCAAATTCAACTCATCCTAATCTCTCCACCGCCATGGCCAACGACGACCAAAACTCCTTCCTCCGCCACCTAACCATCCTCCTAATCACCGCCTCAACCGCCGCTCTCGTGATCATCATCTACCACTGCATCATCACCGTCTGTTGGTACAACCGCCGCACCTTCCAACGCCGCCACCAAACACCACCGGTGATCCAACAAGAAGAGTTAACGATCAGCATCGAGGCCTCGGTGGCGGGCCTCATACCGGCCCACAAGTATCAAAAGGAAACGGAATTGGTGAGAGAAGATAGGACTTGTGCGGTTTGTTTGGGCGAGTACGAGGAGGGTGAAGAGCTACGTACGTTGCCTGAGTGCATGCACTCTTTTCACGTGCCTTGTATTGATATGTGGCTCTACTCCCATTCGACTTGTCCTGTTTGCCGGACCGATACGCCGCCGCCGTTTGTGTTTAGGGGTTGTTTGGAGCCTGGTTTGGATGGGTTGACCTCGCAAAGAGATCATGGCATGGCATCGAATTTTGGTGTGCATTTGGGGGTGCTATGATGGTGGTGAAAGTTTTGAACAATTGTTTTGTGTTCAAAATAAGAAATGAACACTTAATGCTCCCTTTTGTTTCCACGGAATTTTGTGTTTTTTCAAAAAATGTTTTGGTGATTTTGATTGTGACTTTAAAATTAATATATTAGTAATTGTTTAATAGTATTGATTGCTGTGGTTGTGGTAAGATCAGATGATTGTAGTTTTTCGCAAATTGAAAATGATGATACAGTTTGTCCTAGTGAATGGGTCGGACTGGTCCAAACTCCTCAAGCCCAGGTCCAAATGATCAAACCCACCAGATAACCTGCAAACAAGTTCAACGGGGAATGGGGTAGTCCCCCAGTGAACCCTCCGGCGAGCAAGTTAGGAAAAGAAATAGAGTGTAGAGGGAGAGATTAGAGATAGAAAAGCTTAACCTTCTTTTTGTCTTCAACGTTTGCTTATATCCTTTGGTAATTATTTCGCTGTCCCTTCCGACCTGACCTCCTCGCCGAAAGTCTATGCTGTAGCTTACCTTGTTCAGGGTAAGGGGGTCCTGTTCCGACGGAGAGGTGTTGTCGTAATAAATGTTGTGATGGGCTGTATTAATGGTGATGTGCAGTGGCAATAACTTTGTAGATCTTTGTCTGCTGATGTGGCTTGTCCTTCACTTGCCATGTGTCTGAATGTCAGTGGCTCTTTATGCCATGTTGGACTCCAGCTGTCCTGGACCTCACCAGCTGGGTTATGTATTGGGCTTCAAGTGATGGGCTTGGATTGTTCATAGTGATTCATGGCCTTTATGGGCTTATACACGTCAGTAGTCCCCCATTCCCGAGTGCAGCTTTAATCCAACGAAGGGAATACAAATGAAGAAGATGAGGGTGTTAGGGGTGACCGAGAGGGGGAGTCGACCGGGAGGTGGTCCGACCGTGCAGGGTGACCGAGTGGAAGGGCCGACCACGAGGAGGGTCGATCGCAAAGGTTGGCCGAGTGGGAGGGTCGACCACAAGGAGGGCCGACCGCGAAGGGGGGCCGACCGCGGAGGTTGGCAGAGTGGGAGGGTCGACCATGAGGAGGGCCGACAGCGAAGGGAGGCCGATTGCGGAGGTTGGCCGAGTGGGAGGGTCGACCATGAGGAGGGCCGACCACGAAGGGTGACCGAGTGTGAGGGTCGACCACGAGGAGGGTCGATCGCGAAGGGTGAGGTAGAGGGGCGTGGGGCTCGAAAGGCGGCGTGTCACATGGTGATTTGAAGTGGAAAAGACAGGGTAAGGGGAGGAGACAGTGGATCGTGGTCATACATGTGGCAACATCCCGCCAGGGGGGGAAGATTAGGCGTTAGATCAGAAGTGAAACAATAGGTTATTATGGGTGTTGAAAAGACAATTTTGGCGGATGATTTGAAAAGTTTTCAAGCTGGCGAAAATTAATTGGGATCCTTGGAATACGGGCAAACCGTGGGCTTTTGACATTATTCGATTCACCTACTTGTTTACGAAAAATCAAAATATTCCAGGTGTGAATTCCTTTGTTTCTCGCGATACACCTCTGTAACACCTTTTCAACTTCCTTGCACCTGCATTTGAAGCGATTCGCAAGCATACAATAGAAATGGCCCAAGAAGAAACTGCAAATGTCAGGGTGGATCCACTTGGTGATGATGATGCAGTGGAGTTAGCATAGCAATATAGGATGGAGAGGGTGGGGGAGTCGGTGGTACGATCCCATGGTTCCACTATGATATCAGCTCTAAAGCCAATCAGCCAGGCAGAACCAGATCACTGGCATACAAAGGCAGATAGATCAATGGTTACTGCAGCGGATTTGGAGGCCATTCGCGAAAAATACCAGGTGCCTACTGAAATAGAGTTGTTGTTACCGATGTTGACGGAGAGGCCATCCGACGGCAGGCCAGGGGAGTTTGCCCTTTATGAGGAAGCATTGAAGGGAAGACTGAGGCTGCCCCTGCTGCAAGTGGTGGTAGATGTCCTAAATTGTTTGGAGGTAGTGCCGGGCCAACTAATGCCCAATGCGTGGAAGATCTTACTGGCCTGTGCAAGTGCGTGGCTGAAGGAAAACGAAGGGGTGGCCATGACAATAGACGAATTCTTCGCATGTTATAAGGCCTCAGGGCAGCAAGAGACTTGGGTCACTCTGCAGGCAGCAGCAGGGAAAGGGCTGGTGGCGGGGCTGCCGTCGTCGATCAAGGGGTGGAGACCACGGTGGTTCTATGTATCTGCCAGTGGAGGGGTTGGAGTGCGTACCATTTGGAAAGTGCCCACCAAGTCTGTGGAGCCAAAGCTGGGAGCAGCAGCAGAGGAGAGAATAAAGAGGGCGAAGGCGTGGCGGGAGAAGGAGGGGGTCAGGTGGGATGAACTCGTTCAACCCTCAGCCTTGTTTGCAGTGGGGTTGGGTCCTCAGCCGAACGGGGGAGATGTGGGGCGAGCTAGCTTTGTTTGAGGCAGGGTTGGGTCCACAGCCGAGTGGTGGGGACCTCGACTGAACGGAGTTGGAGGCAAGGAGGAAGGCTCAAGAGGCAGAGGATCAGACCATCCTTGCAAAAGCCCAAAAATTCAAAGAGTCTCAGGCAGACCGACTGCCAAAGCCGGTTGCAAGGGAGAGGGTCCGACCGCGACCCAAACCCTTGGGAAAAAAAGACTTAGGTGAATTTGTGCCACGACCGTCCCAATAGATCCTTTGATGGAGAGGTCGTTGAAGGAGATGGAGGTGTTAGGCGTAGTGAAGAAGAAGAGGAGAGTGAGGAGGAGTGAAGAAGAGCCTGCCCAGAAGAAAAAGAGAGAAGTGAGGGCAGAAGAGACCAGTATGGCAAAGGAGGCAGAGGGGGGGGGAAGTGAAGGAGACCCCAGGAAGAGTAATTGCCCCAGAAGTGGTGGACATTGCCTCAGAGGGCATGGAAGTCGTTCCAGTAGTTGCGGCGATCGCCGTAGGGGTCGCGAGGGTCGCCCCTAAAGTGTAAGTAGAAGGTGGAGCAACTGGCCCTGAGCCAAGGAGGGGAGAACAGCCCCAGGGGGGGTCCTGCACCCTAAGGAGAGGGAGTCAGTCTGACTACTGCGATCTACCACGCTCGTGCAGTGGCTGGGCGGCTAGAGGGAGAAGAAGGCCCAGCCAGGGTAGGGGCAAAACGCCTTGTGGGGATAGTAGAAGAGGCAACCTTGCGCTCAGCAGCCAGATTCAATGAGGCTGAACTGCTGAGGGGGTTATGCTCCGCTCAAATGGAGGTAACCACCTTAGCAGGGGCTCTGCTGAGGAAGGCGGGTGCTGTAAAGCTCAAGGCAGATGAGGCCAAGACTCAGCTTGCAAAGTTGAAGGAGAAGAGTGCCAGTTAGGAGAGTGCCCACGCTGATCTGCAAGCGGTCAAGGTGGAGCTGGAGAACACACGCCGCCAGGTTGTGTCGCTCGAGTTCCAACTGGTTGGCGAGCAGAATAGGTTGGATGAGACCTAAAAAGCCTGTGCGGTCACGGTCGAACGACATGAAGAGGCAATGAGCAGTAATGAAGAGCTGGTCAGGCAGAAGGATGAGGCAGACGTGAAGATTAGTAGTCTACAGAAGGAGCTGGAGGGCGAGCGTGCAAAGGCACTGGAAGAGAGGGAGAGCCTTCAGAAAGAGTTGGAGGCAGAGAGAGCCAAGGCGACTGCTGAGAGGGAGACCTTGAAGAAGGAGTTGGAGGCAGAGAAGGCCAAGGCAACTGTTGAAAGGGCGTCCCTGAAGAAGGAGTGGGAGGAAGAGAGGGCTAAGGCAGCCTCTGAAACGGCGACCCTGCAGAAGGAGCTAGACGAAGAGAGGGCGAAGGCATCCTCTGAAAGGGCAGCTTATCCCGATCTGTATGTGGCAGCAGCGGATCAATTCAAGGGGTCTGTTGAATTTCAGATGGCCGTGGATGCTGCGGTCGCCAACAGTTTGGCGAGGAAGGAGTCTGGGGGGTCAGGCCCATCGAGAATGACCACTGGGGGTAGAACTGAAGCGGAAGTGATTGAGAGCTTCTAGCAGTCAGACTTCTATAAACACGAAATGGCTGAGTTCTGGGACAGTGGCTGGAAAATGTTCAAACGCAGGGTTAAAGAACTGTTCCCAGACTTAGACCTCAGTAGTGTAACAATTGGTGAAGATGATGTGGCCTAGACCCCCCTGGATGAGGGTATTGAAGAAGAAGATCTTGTCTCCAGCGAGGAGGAATGAGTGGAGTGAAGAAAGTTTGTACTTAAGAGATTTTTTTTTTTTTTTTTTTTTTTTTGGGTGTCCGGTCCAGCTTTCGTGTACCTCGACTAATCCAGGATCCCTCCACGTGGATCGGGCAAATTTTGGGCAGAGTCCGCAGTGTGGCCCCAATGAGCGGATTACCCCTAAGAGATCTATGTGCTATACACATTTATATTTCAGTAAAATGATGACATGTAGAACTAAATTTAAGAACTCCTCAGTGTAGAGTGAAATTGAAGTTGTAATAAAAACTCAATGCAGAGTAAAGTTAAGAACTCCTCAATGCCGAGTGAAATTGAACTTGTAATAAAAACTCAATGCAGAGTAAAGTTAAGAACTCCTCAATGCAGAGTGAAATTATAAGTCTGTGTTTGCCACACTGCTGAAGTAGATTAGTGGTTTATTGGAGTGAGGCTTGGCTTGTAAGAAAACGGGCTGAGCTGTAAGAGTTCGATTGAGAAGAAAATAATCTGACTTGTAAAGAAAACGCGTAAGAACGTCTTTGGAATTTGACTAAGCAAAGAGTGGTGTGAAGACTTGGATCTGGAATTGTGACTAAGTGTGTCTACTAATTCCACAAGCATGAAGTTTGAATAGATGGTTTTGACCGAGCTCTGCACGCGTGGTCAGTTGGGGGTAAGCTATGATTCACTGACGTTGTAAGTAACTCAGTCTGAACCTGAAATTGTGGCGCTCGGTCTGGCTGAGACTTGGTCTGGCCGAGTGCTTCACGCTCAGTCTGGATGAGGCTTTTAGTGCTCAGTCAGGCTGAGGCTTTTAGTGCTCAGTCTGGCTGAGGCTGTTGACGATCGGACTGGCCGAGGCTTCTGGTGCTCAGTCTGGCTGAGGCTTTTAGTGCTCAGTCTGGCTGAGGCTGTGGATGGTTGGACTGGCCGAGGCTTCTGATGCTCAGTCTGGCTGAGGCTTTTAATGCTCAGTCTGGCTGAGGCTTTTAACAAGTGCTGCAAATGAGAACGTTATTGAGACAACACACAGATAGCTAAGATATAGGATTTTTGTCCTGGACGGTGTAGTCCAGTCGATCAAAGCTTACATTTATGCATCAAAAAGAAAACACAACAACTGAGCAATACAACAGTAAGCACTCATTGAAAGTAGCGCTTCAAGTGTTCAGCATTCCAAGGGTGGAGGAGGTCTCGACCTTCCATGTCCTGAAGTCGGTAGGTGCCTGGACGTGGTCGGGCTTTCACAATGTAAGGTCCCTCCCATTTGGCTGCCAGTTTACCCTCAGTCGGATTTTTGGTGGCAAGAGTTGCTTCTCTCAAGACAAGGTCCCCTACAGCGAACTCCCTTGGTCGGACTTTGCGGTTGTAGTGTGTTCTCATTTTCTGTTGGTATGAGGCCAGTCTGACAGCGGTGGTCTCTCTGAGTTCTTCAATTAGGTCTAGGTCTGCCCGGCTGAGCTTTTCGGTGAGTGCTGGATCTGGATGTAAAACCCTGGGAGTAGACAGACCGACTTCTACTGGAATAACCGCCTCAGCGCCGTATGTTAAGCAGAAAAGGGTTTCCCTAGTGGGAGTCCGAGCTGTAGTTCGGTAAGACCTGAGTACATTTGGTAGTTCCTCAGCCCAAAGTCCCTTAGCATCTTCTAGGTTAGTTTTGATGATCTTCAGGAGAGAACGGTTGCTGACCTTAACTTGGCCATTGGCCTGGGGATGACCGGGGGAAGAGAAACATGGTTGAATCTGGAGGTCGGCACAGAACTTCCTGTACATGGCGTTGTCAAATTGTTTGCCGTTGTCGGAGACGATGGTTGAGGAATGCTAAGCCTGCAAACGATCGACTGCCAGATGAACTTGGTTGTGTTCCGCTCGGTAATGGTGGCAAATGGTTCTGCCTCTATCCACTTGCTGAAGTAATCAATGGCAATGATCGCGAACTTGGTCTGGCCTCAGCCGGTGAGAAGCGGACCGACCAAGTCGATCCCTATTTGGCGAACGGATAAGGGCTGCAAAGTGTGATCAACTCTATAGGAGGAGCATGGGGGATGTTGGCAAAATGTTGACACTTATCACATTTGAGCACGAAATCTGTCGCATCATGATTAAGTGTTGGCTAGAAATAACCAGTACGGAGTATTTTGTGGGCTAGAGACCTGCCGCCCAAATGATTACCACAAATTTCCTCATGGATTTCCTGCATTACATAGGTTGCTTGAGCCGAATTGAGGCATCGCAGGTATGGTCGTGAAAAACCACGTTTGTACAAGACGCCACTGACCAGGATGTAATTGGACGACTGGGCCCTGACTTTGGCGGCCTGCTGCTGGTCATCTAGGAGTTCTCCCGTTGTCAAAAATAGGAAGATGTCGGAGGCCCAAGGGATGGGTTCGTTTTGGAGGAACTGCACTTATTGTAGGTTGGGTGAGATGGCCGGGTGGGCTAGGTATTCGAGGCGAACACAGTGGCTGAGGCCTGACTAGTCTACAGAGGCCAACTGAGCCATCTCATCTGCCTTGGAGTTTTTCGCCCGAGGTATGTGCTTGATGTGGAAAGTATTGAAGAGGCGAACAAGGGGGAGTGCCATATCCCTGTAAGCTTGCATTGTGTCCTCCTTGGCATCGAATTCCCCCGTAATCTGGCTGACAATGAGCTGGGAGTCGCTGAACACCCGGATGTGGCTGACTCCAATGTCCTTGGCGAGGCGGAGTCCTGCTATCAATGCTTCATATTCAGCCTCATTGTTACTGGCATTAAACAAGAAATGAAGAGCACATTTGAAATAGCCACCCTCAGGGGCGGTGAGAATGAGGCCAGCCCCACTACCTTCCCTGCGGGATAATCCGTCGACGTTGAGAGTCCAAGAATGCGGGTCTTCTGGCTCAGTAGGGGTTGGTGGGGGTAAGGGGGCAGTGGTTGGTGTAGGATTAGTGAATTCTAGTATGAAATCCGCGACAGCCTGTCCCTTAATTGCTGTTCAAGGTCGATAGGAGATGTCGAACTGACTGAGTTCCACTGACCACTTCATGAGTCTGCCGGAAAGTTCTGGTTGTTGCATGACCTTCTTCATGGGTTGGTCGGTGAGAACCACTATGGAATGGGCCTGGAAGTAAGGACAGAGCCGTCTGGAGGCAGTGACCAAGGCCAAGGACAATTTTTCTAACAGCGGGTAATTCTGCTCTGCTCCCCTTAGAGCCCGACTGATGTAGTAGACTGGTCGTTGGACAGGGTCGTCTTCCCTGATAAGAGCTGCACTGACTGCGGTGCTTGAGACTGCTAAATAGAGGAAGAGGGGCTCGCCCATAATTGCTTGTGAAAGGAGAGGGGGATTGGCCATGCACTGCTTCAATTGCTGAAAAGCCTCTTTAGATTCAGTTGTCTGAGCAAAGCATTCCCACAGACGGCGCCAACTGATGATACAGTTTGTCCCAGTGAATGGGTCGGACTGGTCCAAACTCCTCAAGCCCAGGTCCAAATGATCAAGCCCACCGGATAACCTGCAAACAAGTTCAACGGGAAACGGGGTAGTCCCCCAGTGAACCCTCCGACGAGCAAGTTAGGAAGAGAAGTAGAGTGTAGAGGGAGAGATTAGAGATAGAAAAGCTTAACCTTCTTCTTGTCTTCAACGTTTGCTTATATCCTTTGGTAATCATTTCGCTGTCCCTTCCGACCTAACCTCCTCGCCGAAAGTCTATGCTGTAGCTTATCTTGTTCAGGGTAAGGGGGTCCTGTTTCGACGGAGAGGTGTTGTCATAATAAATGCTGTGATGGGCTGCATTAATGGTGATGTGCAGTGGCAATAACTTTGCAGATCTTTGTCTGCTGATGTGGCTCGTCCTTCACTTGCCATGTGTTTGAATGTCAGTGGCTCTTTATGCCATGTTGGATTCCAACTGTCCTGGACCTCACCAGCTGGGTTATGTATTGGGCTCCAAGTGATGGGCTTGGGTTGTTCATAGTGATTCATGGCCTTTATGGGCTTATACACGTCAGAAAATTAATAATTATAGGAAACATAGGTTAAAAACACATTTTTAGCAACTTCTCAATAATATTTAAAAAAAAAAGTTTTTGCTCTATAAATTTAAAATAAAACGGCACTAAACACTTTGGTATAAATTTTAAAAAAAAAGAATAAAAAGAAGAAATTATAAGTAATTTATAATATGAACCAAATAGGGTCATAAAAGTGAAGTGGGGTCGGGTCGGGTGGGATGGGCCAGGAGGTTGTTTGGTAGTGGTGAGGGGGAGGCGTAGGGCCAATCTTGAATTTTTTCGGGTTGTAGTTGAATTTTTTAAATGGATCCTTTATGAATAAGAAAAATATTATGGATATTAACACATTTGCTAACAATCTTATATTGTTCAATGAGACAATAACCTCGTTTGGGAACAAACTATTTTATAGTACTTTTTTTATTTTTTTATTTTTTACCAACAATATTAGAGACTCATGTTTTGCACTCACAAATGCATCCACAATGATGTGACAAGGGTGGTAGGTCTCATATCATTGAGTGTTTAATTAATCCAAAAAAAAAAAAAATTGACACTTGTCAGATTGTATCATTGTGGATTGAATTGTGAAAGATTCATGAGAGTCTTAAACATTTTTCATTTTTTACTAGTTACTTGTTGATGGGGAATAATTCTATGTGATTTCGTGTATGGTTCAAGGAGAAGTTATTGGTTGGTTATTCACCAAAAAAAAAATTATTAGGAATTATGAAAGATTTATAAGAGTCTCAAACATTTTCTAATTTTTACTAGTTACTCGTTGATGTTGAATAATTGTATGTGGTATCGCGTATGGTTCAAGGAGAAGTT